GGGTGGGCGTTAGCGAGCGCGCGAAAGGGAGAGCGAGGTCGCTGTCTCTTCCGCAGACAAGAAAGCGAAGGGGGAGGCGTGAAAACGCCAGTTTTCACGTAGACGCAAGAACGAGGACGAGGGGTTGGCGGTCGCAAGGAGCAGAGCAGAGGAATAAACAGGGTAGATGAAGCAAACCACACACCTTCGTAGCCACACTAATACTCAAAAAATGCACGAAACCAATATTCTTATCCCGCACGATCTTGACCTGGTCGATCAGCCCAAAGCGCCCCAGCTCGTCGCGCAGAGCCTCCTCCGTCATGCCCTCCTCGAGGCCGCCGAGGTAGACGTTGCGGGAGGCGCCGCTGGGTGGGTGGGTGGGTGGGGTGGGTGGGGAGAAGCGTCAAGTCGTTAGTATACGGTATATATGAGGAGGAGGGGAAGGAGACGAGGACACACCTCTGCGCAATCGCCTGCATCACCTGCGCCGGGACCGGACTCGGCTTGCCCCACCCGACCTTGAGCTCCTGCCCGTGCAGGGAGAGTTTCCTATAATATAATAAAATATAATTAACGACCAAGATAACGAAAGGAGTAGAAGGACGCGGGGCAAGTGGGGGGAAGTAAAAAGGAAGGCAAGAAAACGCACCTCAAACTCGCATCCGCAAAGAAAGCCGCCGCAGTCGGCGCGTCCAAAAACGACAAGAACACACACGACTTTTCGGGCAGGACCCGGATCGACTCGAGTGGGCCAAAGTGGACTGCGCGGAAAAAAAACGCATCAGTCCTCTCCCCAATATCCCCAATATAATGCAAAAACGCGAATATGCTCACCCAAATTCAACAACTCATCAACACTCGCACTCGGCGGCAAATTCCCAATATACACCGTCCGCCCCCCCGCCGTCGTCCCTGCCACCCCCCCGGGGCTCATCATCATCCCGCCCATACCCATCCCGCCCATGCCCATGGCGGACATGGGGCCCATCATGGAGGACATGGAGGAGAGGGGTTGCGCGTTGGTGGGGTTTTGGTTGGCGTAGACGGCCTGGACGTAGTCGTAAGTACATAATTAAAATTGGGGGGAGAAAAGGGTGGAGGTAAGGAAAGGAAGGGAAGAGGACGAGCACGTACCTGCGCAGCCGGAATATTGAGGTTGAGCGAGGGCAGGCGCTGCAGCGGCGATTGGGCCGATTGCTGTTGCTGTTGTTGTTGCTGCTGGGATTGTTGTTGCTGGGGCGAGTGCGCGGAGGGGTTGGGGGCCTGCGTGGGTGGGGTTAGTTTCGAGGCGGAGGCAAAGCAGGACGGGGAGGGAGAGCATGAAGAGAAGCTAAGGGAGGAAGGCGAAGGTGAAGAAACGCGCGCGCGGGCGCGGACGACGCCGCCATCGACCGCGCACCAGAAAGAAAGCGGAAGAGCGGGGCATAATCACGAGAGGCCGCTCAGCTGATCATCGTGATCCATCGCCCACAAACATGCCGAAGCGCGCAAACAAAAAGCAAGAGCGCGCGAAATGCCTACACCCCCACCCACACCCCGAACGCGGTGACAGAATCAAAACAAGAAAACATCCAGGCCATGGACAGCGACATCAAAAGCCCTGCCCTGCCCTACCAGCGATCACGGAGCGGAGCGGCGTTTGCATACATCCGTATACCCGTCTGCGTCCCTGCGTGGGTATGTATGTATGGATGTATTGGATGTATGGACACCGGGGATCCATACACACCGGGCAATCCGGGCTCGGCGGAGCGCCCGAGAAAAAAGAAAAAGTGGGGATGGGCGCCCGCGAAACAACAACCAACGAAAGAGAAGGGATGGGGAGCAAGGAGGGTAGGGAGGGGAGGAATGGGAATGGGTAGGAAGAAGGGGAGGGAAGATGCGTATGCAGCGCCAAGGGAGATGGATAGGCAATCAGGGATGGATGGATGGGCGCGCGTGATGCGCGTGCCAGCGGCAGTGGCAACACCCCCGCCCGGCCAAGAATCGAATCCACGAAGGAGTGAAGGTCGAAAGCGCAAGGAAACCAAAAAAAGCGCCGAAAAAGCCAAGCAAGGCAACGAAACCGCGCACACACCTGGAATCCACCCTGTCCCCACATCCCATACGGGTTAAACTGCGCATACGGCGACCCAGGCGCGCCGCCCTGGCCCACGACGGGGCTCTGCTGCTGCTGTTGCTGCTGCTGTGCCTGCTGAGCCTGCGCCTGCTGGAACGCCGCCATCGCATCCTGCTGCTGTGCGCCATTGAGGGACGCGGTGTTGATGCTGAGCTGCGGCGTCGCATAGAGCTGCTGCTGCTGGCCGTACTGCGCCTGGGCCTGCGCCGCGGCGGGGCCGTAGCCGTAGTTCGCGTACGCGTTGCCGGTATTGGGGGAGGAGGCGGCGGCGGCGTTGGGGTTAGAGGAGTTGGAGGCGGCGTTGGGGGAGGAGCCGGAGGTGGGGGACCATCTGGCCTTTTTTGAGTCGGGGCCCGCGGGGGTGTCCATCGAGCGCTGGCGTTTTGGGGGAATTTCGACGGGGGCGGGGAGGAAGAAGGAATGCAAAGGTCGGCGAAGCAAGGGACCCAAGCAAGGCGGCGGCAATGAAGGAAAGCGGCCGGGGTGAACAACGAAGGGGCGGAGGCGGAGAAGGGGAATCGTGGAAGGAGGATGGATGGATTCAAGGGGGAAAGGAGAACGAGGAACCAAACAAAGGACGGAAAACAAGCGAGCGAATGGGAGTGAGCGAACGCAATATGGGACATGGCAACCGATAATCGCACCTTCATCATGTCGATATCAAACGAATATGGCGGGTACGGCGCGCTGAACCCAGCCCCACCCGTGCCAGTGTGGTGAGACATACACGGTTTAAATAATACACGGCGCAGAGAGGGTGGTGGAATTGTGAGAGGAGAGCAAAGTCAACGAGTGTCGAGCCGGAAACAACAACGAGTGTGTGGGGGTGGTGCAATAAAAAGACACGCACAAAGGACGGGAGGAGGGAAGGATAACGAAGGATGCGCAGAGGCCACGTCAAAGAACCACTGATCACAGAAGGGTCCTTGATGCGCACGGGCCTCTCCCTTGTATTCTGGTCAGTCTATTTCAAGGCCAAGTATCTACAGGACTACAGTACAGGGAGCAGGGGGAGCCATCCTCAATCCCACCCCACAAGACCACACCCCAGGGCCAACAACAGCGATGCGCTGGCAGGAACAACTTCAAAAGATACGCGCGCGACTGATCGGTGTTGGCGCTCCAGGCTTCTCGTTGTTCCGCGAGCGGACAGGCGAGGTACACATCGATCTCGTCATTCGCAAAACACTCCCCACGGCGGCCGCACTCAGCGTTCGGGTCCCCGTTGAATATTCTTGGACGATAATTTTCGAGTACAACGGGTCCTCTCTAGTCTTTATCAACACAGACTAGCGCCAAAATCGTACGACCTCTCCGACTCCACATCGGACTGGGCCAATACTCCCGCATCCAACCCACAAAAGAAAAAGAAAAACTTGTTCAGTTCCGAAGCGTAAATGCCTCCGGTGGGACTCGAACCCACATCTCTCATGGCAGGCTAAGAAGGCAGCACAGTACCGAGGTGATCTAACCTCGATCCACAAAGGCTGGCTCCCACTATTCAATGGCTCTACTTACGCCTACACAGGAATCATCCACAGTTTTGATAATACTGGACAAGTGATTCAGAACCACCTTCAGCAAAAGTGGCACTAGTGACTCGCCGCACATCCAACGAAAAATCTGAACTGATTCACTGACCGGTGCAGAATTTAACTCCCATGAGAACAAAAAAAAGGCACAAATTTGAGGACACCAGCCTATGCCTCTGGTGGGATTCAAACCCACATCCCTTCATGTGTAATATGCAACATTCTGTCTGTACAACATTGAAGTGATCTCCACAGGCAGACAAGTAGACTAAAAATTTGCTCAGTTCGAGTTCCTGGGGCCGTGTTTAATACAGACTGATTAAAACTTTAGAAAGGGAGGGCACCTGCAAGACCTAAAGTGAGTTGACTTGGGTTAAACCGGGAAAAATATGGCTTTGACTTAAAATTTTGATGGCACGTGCTGATGCGCCAACAACCGCGCCGACGTGCAACCGTGGCCACCAGCTTCCCGTTTCCCGGAATATGGAGCAAATGATTCGGATGAAGCGGAAAGTCTGCATTAACGATATGTATGTAGCGAGTACGTAGGATACATTCCATCCAAGGAAAAGAAATGCGAGAACAGCTGCACGCCTCGCTCTAAGTCTTCGACGGCCCAACACTTGACGGGAGATAAGGGAACCTCGACTCATCTGGAAAAATGGTTGAGCGAGAAAAAGGTCTTGAAAGGACGACTTGAGGCCAACGCGACATCGTGTTTGCTGAGACTTGGGAAGCTTTGATCCAGGGCCGCGAGTTGGCCGCGTGACGACTTTGAGACTCAAGAACTTGAAGACGGAAATGAATCTTGAAGGCCCAGCAGAAGGCTTGAAGCTTGAAGTTTTGAGGGCAGGAAGGACACTTGGCTTCCGAGCAAGTGGTTTGGAGGGTGGGCGTCCGCAGCGACGAACTTCGGTTGACGTTGATCAATCTGATTGATTGTCGTCAAGCCACGGACTCAGGTTTGCCTTCAGTCGCGTTTTGCGTTCAACTTAAGTGCCGACTGCTTTGGAATTTGCTGAACACTTTATAAGATGGATTTAAATTCAACCAGATCTAACCCGAGCCCAAAAGTCTACCCCAGTGTAAGTAATTTGACGAATTCGCGACTACGTCTGAGCCATTCGAGGCTCTGGCAGTGTAACCTTGATCCACAGAGGCTGGCTCCTACTATTCAATGGTCCTACCTACATGCATGATAATCACCCGAAATCAATACTAGACAAGTCATCCAGACCCACTTTGGGCAAAATACCAGTGGTACCCTCTCATCCAATCCAACAAAAAATCTGAACTGACCCACTGATTCAACTGCAGAATTCAACTCCGAGGAAAGCAAAAGAAAAATCCAGGAAGGGTTAAGCTCATGCCTCTGGTGGGATTTGAACCCATATCTCCTCATGTACATGAAAAGTGAATTCACAACATCGAGGTGATCTAACCTTGATCCACAGAGGCTGGTTTCCTTTCATTCAACGGCTCTACTTACAGCTACACAGGAATCACTGTCAATTAACGCTAGCCAAGTCATCCAGAATCTTCAGTAAAAGTGGCACCCTCCGATCCAACCAAAAATTCTGAACTGATTCACTGACTGCAGCTTCGACTCCGATGCTATTCCCGTGTTCCGACTCAGAGTTTAACTTGAGGTTCCTTTTTCCAACTTACTTTCCCATTTTTCCTTTCTACCGCGGCAAGTTGAAAGATTGCATCCGTGAGCTCGGCTACGGGGTTATGGGAGAGTCCAAAGACCGTTAATGTATACTAGCGCCATGTACATTCAGTTACTTCCTGGGCTCCAGCGTTCCTAAGTAGAACAGTTGAAGGACTTCATACGCATATTTGGCCAACAGGGCGATGTCCGGACGGGAGTATATCACGGCTTTCAGAAATTCTGTATTAGATAAATCTGCCATGATAGCTTGCATCTGCGGGGAGTTGTTGAATAAATGTCCCAGGAACATCGCGCGTAATTGAACCAGTGCATCTGAAGATGTGCACGAGATTAGCGCGTGTTCCGGGGTCTCAACCTCTGTTCAACAGAGTCCGCATAGCCTATCCGACCATTCCACGGGCTGATGTGCGTGATCCACGTAGCGTAGTACCTCCACGGCCAATTGATGAGTCGAAAGCAGCAGCGAAGTTAATGCCTCTCGATGTACTTGAGTGTTCACCATTGTTAAATAATGCCGCATTTTGAGTGTAATTTGTGCCAGTTGGGTTGTCCTTTCTGGGTTCAAGCCTCCCATGAAGCAGGTAGAGCTTATCACTTGAGTTGACCGAGTCCTGTAGCCAATCCATCATAAGCCTGTTCACTGTCTTTGCGTAGTCCTGGACGTCTTCAATTGAAGTATTGCCGTTGAGTACGAAGGTGGGGCAACGAGGAAAACAAGAAGAAAAAAGTGCAAGAACTTTCAACAAACTGATGCCTCTGGTAGGATTCGAACCCACATCTCCTCATACACAATGTCATTTGCAAGAGAACCAGGAACAACACTGAGGTGATCTACCTTAATCCACAGAGGCTGGTTCCCTTGTATTCAACAGCTCTACTTACTCGGGAATCACCTGCACTTCTTTCTGACCGGCGCAAAATTCAACTCAAAGAAAACAAAAAGATGTGGGAGACCAAGCCGATGATGCCTCTGGTGGGATTGGAACCCACATCTCCTCATGTATAATTTCCAACATCCAAAATGTACAACATTGAAGTGACCTAACCTTGATCCACAGAGGCTGGTTTCCTTTTATTCAACAGGTTACTTACACAGGAATCACTCACTACTTGAAAAGTGACTCAGAACCACCTGCGGCAAAATGCCAATGGCACTCTCATTGTGACATCCAACAAAAATCAAAAACTGATTCTGATTCACTCACCAACTGCAGAATTCAACTCGGAGGAAAGCAAAAGAAAAATGCAGAAGGGTCCAGCTGATGCCTCTGGTGGGATTCGAACCCATATTGCCTCATGAATGAGTACCCTAGGATCTATAACTTTGAGATGATCTACCTTGGTCCACAGAGGCTGCCTTTCTATTCAACAGGGTACTTATACAGGAATCATTCACTACTTGAAAAGTAACTCAGAACCACCTGCGGCAAAATGCCAATGGCACTCTCATCATAATAGACAAAAAAACTGAACTGACCCACTGACCAACCACGGAATTCAACCCCGAAGGAGACAAAAGAAAAATGGCAGAAGCAGGCAGATGCCTCTGGTGGGAGTGGAACCCGCATTGCTTCATGAATACACTAGTAGCTGGTTTTTGTCTGTTGAATGGTTCTACTTACATGCATGGGAATCACTCGCAATTAATACTAGACAAGTTATTCAAAACCTAAAACGAAACCTAAGTGGTGTTTTCAACATAAAGGTGAGAAGTTCTCTGGGATCTCAGGGTTTCCTTGCACAAATCCTGGTAAGGTAGGGAGGAAACATATTTGGTTACACCACATGATGTATTTCCTTTTCGGATTCCCTAGGTCCTTTTTGCTTGCCCAGGCTTTTCCTTCCACGTAAGTGAAAAATCTGGCCCCACAATTCTGTTCTGTTTCTCCTCAAGACACCTCACAAATATTTTCCCAGATTTAAGTGAGGAATTGAGGGACAAGTTCCAAATCTACAGAAATTGATGGCAAAGGGGGGGCGTCATCAATTTTGGAACTAGGCCTTCATTTTTCGACTAAAAGTCCTGAAAATATTTGGGGGGACTATTCTAGTGCATACACACAAATCTGGGGAACAGATTTGCCCTTGACCGTCGGAAAGCTGAGATCACTCGATTTGGGTCAATCACGGGGGGCAACCGAATATGTCTGCTCCCTTATCTGGCTCATATGATGTCATTGAGAATTTATTTAGATTTTTTGAAACACAGAAAAGTTCTGAACAACCTGTGTTGCACTTCTACATTATGACACACTTCCTGGTTAACTTACAGCTGTATGTTTTTCAACAGGAAAATATCCTTAGAAGGACATCACCCTGTTCAATGCCTTTGACCTGATGGATTGGGACAAATTTTCGGGGCTCGTTCATAAACTCTGGCTCGCAAGGGAAATTGGTCTCAATACTTGTTCTTAGGTGCAGTTCAAGTCCCTGTGTTTTTCCGGTACAAACTGGAGGCCAGTCCGGAGGAACCACTAATAGAGAAGGATCAAAACACTTCGACATGCGCCTCGGCTCCAGACGGCATAGCTCAGAAAGAATCCACATGACCTATTTATGAGATTGGGTGTCGTAACTTGCCTCCCACACCTTGTCTCCCCCTCCCACCATCTCGGTGACCAGCTCTCAGTGGTATGGCAGCACCAAAGACATCTGAGCGATGTAAAGACCTTTTTCGTGTGCCTCACCTTCCTCTGTTCAACTTTGTTCCAGTCTGTGCCGCCAATGCAGATCTCACCATCTCCTCATCGGATGGTGTCCTCTTCAAAGTCCACCATCGGAATCTCGAGGTCCATTCCCCTGTCTTTGCTAGTGCCGAGAGCTCTACACGGCCGGAGAATGGGCAGGAGGTCCTCAAACTTTCAGAATCCTCGGAAACTTTGGAGCTCCTGTTCCAGTTCATGTATGCACAGCCACAGCCGGATGTGCAGGAGTTGGAATTCCCATCAATTGCTGGTCTGGTCGAAGCTGCTGAGAAGTACGAGATCTATGCAGCACTCCCGCCGTGCCGAGCGCAAATGAAGTGTGTACTCTTCCTTCTGCAACTGTCATCCAAAAATTGACTGTGTGATAGGGACTTTGTGACTGTGCACCCAGTCGAGGTGCTCTTGTATGCAATTCGACACAACCACACTGATCTGGCCAATGAGTCGGCTCTTCAGAGCATGAGTGTGGGTGTTGAAAAGGTCATGGAGGTTCTTCCCCCTGAGATCTTCAAATCCTGGGTGCGTTTGGGCTTTGATCTCCACGTGAGGGACTAACAACCAAGTCAAGATCATTTTCAACGAGCGATGGCGGCACGCAATGATTGACGACCTCGCTAAGTTTGTCAATGGCGATGGACACTTCATTCCTACTGCCCATGCAATTGGGATGCGCATTCAGCAGCTTCGGCAGCCCAGGATTCCCAACAAACATGGCTTGAAGATGGAATTCATTCCAACAGGGAAATGATCTTGCGAAATGGTGAGTGAGGATTGGCCAGGTATATGGGCTGTGCTTAAAATATGTGCAGTCACCACTCAGACTGTTAATGTTACGACTGGAGATGCGATCACAAAACCATGTTTTATATGTAACCCGTAAAATTGTATGGAATCCAGCTTGTATTCGAATTTCCAGTGTCATGTACATGTCTCTTGTGTCAAAAATCTGTCTCTCAGTATTAGTCATTTGTGGTCTCAACTTGAAAATTTGAGTTTGGCCAAAATCAACTATAATTCGAAACATCTCAATATCCCACATCCCAAGCTGGCAAGCGACTTAATCATCACTTGCATCACCGATCTTCATGTAGATGTTCCTCCGAGTCAATTGAGTACTCACTACCAGTTGAAGTTAGAAAGAGGATCAAATTAGGGAAGGAAATAAGCACAACTCTAATGGTCCCGCTAAGAAAGAAGACACCCATAATATTACATTTTTGAAGTGGCATCACACGAGACTGGTTGCTTACAGCACCGAAATAAATGAATATTCCTTGCCTACTCTGCAAACAAGTTAAACAAGTCAGTCTTTATGCTGCCGACAACAGTGAGAACCAACTCACACTTCACATCCTCTTCAGGAGGAGAATCCACAACAAACTTCAACCCCGCTCTCAACCTTCCCATCCTTTCCCTGTATCCAGCTGCCTCCAACTCTGTACTGTAGGTGCGAAAGGGATTCGGGACAACAAGGCACTTTGCAAGCAGCGGGATGTTATCGGCGTATTTGGTCATGACACTGAAGAAGTGGAGTTTTTCTTCAGTGTAGCGTTCCTGGAATAAGATCTTGGATTTGTTAGATATGGACCAAGGGTGGTGTAAAACAAGTAAAATCGGGACGGACCCATTTTTCAAACGTGCTTTGTGTGAGGACATTCATGGCCTCGGCGACGGAGCTTGACATGCTGTATTGGGCGCACTCGCTCGCAAGTTCGGGATGGCCGTGCTTCACGGCGTACTCGAGGACCTGTAAGGGATGCTCCGCAGCCGACTCCCTGCCCAAGAAGTTGCTCATGCACACAACTTGGTTATAAAATAAACTCACTTCATTTTGGCACGACACCACCCCAGCGCAGAATAGACCACATACTTCTCAGCCGCCTCCGCCAGTCCCGCGAGCACCGCAAACTCCACCGTGTTGAGATCGGGCTGGGGCTGTTGGTACATGTATTGGAAGAGCAGCTCCAGCACGTCCGCGGTCTCGCAGAGATGCACAACCTCGTCCCGGTTGTCTGGTCGTGTTGCGCTTTCCGCACTGGCGAAGGCATCGGAGTGGACGGAGAGGTGCTTGTGGTGTAGTTTGAAGAGCACGTTGTCGGAGGAGGCGATGGTGAGGTCTGAATCTGGGAAGCAGACTGAGAAGGAAGAGAGTTAATTGGTGTGGTGTATGTATTTGTGGAAGGAAAACTACAGCGCACAGTGGGTTGAGATTTTTGAAGGTTCCATAGCTGGCGGGCAGGCGCGATGACTTGAGTGCGCCTCGATGGATTTTGCTGGTTGAACACAATGGGCTGAAGACACCCGCTTTGAGACAGGGTCAGTTTCAGCTTTCACCGACCGAATTCCATCCATCTCACTGATGACTTCTTTCGCCGCGGCTTCAACGAGACGAACTTGTTCCAGTGGCTACCCAGTGTTAAGGACCGTAGAAAGACGAACTCGGTGGTGGTGGAAGAGGACTCCACAGCAGTGGTGGACGAAGCAGGGCAGGAAGCTGTAAGGAAGCTGCGTGGTGGAAGATGTCGTATCGGCCCGAGATCGGCTTCAAGCTGGTGGCAATTAAACCGTTATTGGACAGACAGCGAAAGTTGAATTGCCACAAACAGAAAGGTTGAACGGAGCGCGGCCAAGTAGGAACGATTGGAGCTTTCAAGTTTCTGTTGCCGACAATCAACCTTCCATAAAGGCTCGAGCGCTCGAAGTGCGATTTATTTGCAACGGTGAACCGACAGGAGCCCCAGGAAATTGTGTCACCCCAACCGCAGGCGAAAGTGGCAAACAAGAACGATTTTCCTCTAAGTATGCGCAGTTTGCCACTGTAAGTAATCAGTAATAAAATATTTATCTCGCCGTTGCTGACCAGGAAAAAGTCAAGATCGCTCGAGCTTGGCCTCTGACTCAGTTAAGGTTTGTGTCGAGTTGACCGTTGCTTCGGCCTAGAGGAACAGGAAGGAGCAGGAATTCTCGGATGAGAGCAAGAGCCAGAACGCGGCATTCAAGTCGGCGATCAAATTCCCGCTCTCCGAGTCCAACACCAAGCTTGACCCCAAACTTGAGCCGCAAACCTGGCACCTGCTCTTTCCAATCCAATCCATGGCTCCTCGCTCCTTCTACTTACCGAGAGCCCGAAGAAACCAGAATGATCAGCAAATAGGCGGAACGAAGGAGAAATCTACCAGCGTACAGGAGGCAACTAGGACAAAACTGCAATAACTTCAGGTCTGGACGTTCCATTCCCACTTCCCGCTGGATCTTGGACGAAACCGATTCTAAGATAGCTTTCCCCCCGTGTCTCACCGTGGATTTCTTCGAGCACCAGAGCCGTCCAGCGCCATGCTTCACTTTGGACTGCACGAG